TTGCTTCCCAGGAGCAGTTGGCAGATTTATTGACGAAACCATTAGGAGGAGTTAAGTTCAGATCTTTGTTACTCAAGATGGGAGTTTTGAATATTTACTCTCCATCTTGAGGGGGCGTGTTGAATTACTTTGTAAATAATAGGGTCAAATTAGTCTTTGTACATTCTAACCATTTTCTGTTAGAGAAGTCAATGTATATATTATGCCTGCTGGTACACTCCAGCTCAATTTAATTTCAAGGAAACAGATTTTCCCTCTTTTCTTCCCGCTTCCATTTCCTTCGCTCTCTACATTTTGATACTTACAGGAGTTGTACCTTAGTAACAATCAATTGGATGGGTTTCAACCACAAAACCTTGATCAGCCTTCTAGTCTTGAAATTTTAGACTTATCTTACAATCAAATTTCAGGGTCACTGTCGGCCTTGAGAGGATTTTCATCATTGTACCGGTTAGATCTCTCCGGAAATCAATTGAAAAAGCTACCCAAAGCTATTGAGAAACTTTTCAATCTCAATTTTTTAAATCTCTCTTCAACTTCACTGGAAGGTACAATCACCGAACACCACCTTTCAAACTTTCCCCAAGTAACAGAACTGGATTTATCTTTTAACAATGTGTCTTTCAACTTGAGCTTTGATTGGATTCCTCCCTTCCAATTGTATAGATTAAGCCTTCGCAATTGTAATACGTGGCCTCATTTTCCAAATTGGATTCGAACACAGAATTCTCTTACGGATCTCAAACTCTCTTTTGCTGGTATATCCGACACATTACCTAATTGGCTGTGGAATATGTCTTCTCTACAACATTTAGACCTCTCTCATAATAATATTAGTGGCGGGATGCCTGATTTGGCCTCAAATTTGAATTTTTATGAGTATCTAGATTTAAGTTATAATAATCTTTCGGGGTCCATTTTCAACGTATGCACAATTTCTGAGGACGTCAATATCCAAACCCTTAGGCCCTGTTCTATTTGTCGTTTTCAAGCCGTTTTCTGTTTTCAATTTTCCAAAACAACGAAAACGCGTTCTCTTCCATATTTTTGAAAACGCATTTTGAAAAACAAAAAAAATGCACACAAAACTCAAAATGGCAAAAACCTCGTTTTTGCCGTTTCCAAGCCAATCCTTCCCAACCCACCCCCGTTCCTTCTTCTCCCGTTCCTTCTTCCGCCAAAAGAATGGAGCAGCCACATTCCAATCCTCTAAACAGTGATTTGATATGGTGAAGACCACGATTACATCGCACAAAACTTGCTGGTAATCGGTAGCGCCGCCGTCACTCCCCTTTCCGTGTAAACACAAGAGCTTTTGCTGGTCGCTCAGTTTCTGCACTTGGGCTCTCTTTGCCATGCCTTAAATCTCCACTTTATAGCCAACGGAAAAGAAATCTGGTCATTAGGGACTCTGTTGCTGTTGAACAGCAGACTCAAACTAAGGCTGCTGTGATTAGAATTGGCACTCGGGGAAGGTAATGCTCGTAATTTGACTTTTTGGGTATGGGTTGATTATTGTTAAACTTGAGTATTAAAATGCACGGTTGACTGTTTGATTTTTTATTTTATTTATGTGATAGAGATTGCACATTGAGCTTGTGTTACGATGGGTAAGAGTATATTGCAGTTAAAATGGATTTTTGAGCTTAAAGATGGATGTGTGGACATTCTTGAGCTTGAATTCTTGTGACTGTTTTAATATTTTTACTAAAATAGAATCCTGGTTTCAATTGAGAGTAATGAGGTAATGAGAACTAAATGCTATCTCTACATTCGATGAGAAAATGAGAAATTTACTGAATTTGTGAAGTAAAGGTGGAAAGAGATGTGCATCAGGCATTGTGGTTTTCAACTCACTACTTATTTACTTCTCATGTATGAGTATTTGTTCCTGTAATTGTCTAAAAAATGAACAGGACATCAAGCATTCCCAAGAGGCTGACTAAGGCATTATAGTTGCTTGTAGCATTTTATTTAACTAATATATGACTTGGAAACATAGAGTTTTTCTTTGTGGGATCTCATTATGACTGCAATATGGCTTTTTGATCATTTATTGAGAGATGATTCAGATTAAACGTCATATCCTCATCTTACGAATTCATCTGCCAATAAAGCTAATAATGAATATGAGGGATTTTTGTTTGGAGAAATGATATGGATGGGGTATTCGCAATTCAAATGTGCGCATCTGCTTTATGGACCTTTGAAATTCTTCGTTAAGGATTTGTTATGTCATAAAAGTGATGTAAGAGATTTAATTGGATGATTTTTGATTTCCTTTTCTATTCATTACTTTAGACTGTCTCAATACATTTAATGTTACTATAGATCTTTTACTGTATATAAACATCAGATGTGCAACACGAGAATTTACCATTGAAGTTTGTCGACTTATCGAGTAAACTCCCCAGCTCAACGTTGAGGACTTAAAGCCTACAAAAGATAAGGCTACTGATGGCAAGACTGAAACTAAGAAAGAAGAAGCCCCTGAATCTGATGACGAAGAAGATGAAGATGATTCGAAGGATAGTGGATCTAATGATTTATCAAGAGGAATGGTAAATCTCCATTCTCATTGTGCGAATCTCTTTGTTTTATTCCTTGAGATCATTCATTACAAATTCTGCATTTTCTTGTGTTTTAGATTATTCTTTGGATGTGTAATTGTAAAAATATTGTATTTCTACTGTTGTGATTAATTCTTCAAATCATATTATGTGATGCCAAGACTCCAACATGTATAGTTTGTAAAATTATCTTTTTATGCTATATATAGGTGCTGAATTCTTCAATCCTATCTACCCTTATCAACAAATTTTCAGAATATTTCACAACAACATTGGCATATTTATGTGCTCCTTCTTGCTAGATTTTATTATGTGATCATTTCTTTAGTAGACATCATAATATCATATTAATTACTAACTTTATTCCTCTTTTCTACAGAGCCAACACACAACAGCCAAAGCTCTTTGTTGGTATGAAATGGTTGTTGGACTACGGTAGAGTTTCTTAGTTTTGAGCTTTATGTGTGTGTGGCAATTTCCAGGCCATAAGTTAGCTATTGGTATGTACTGATGGTAAATGTAGATGGATTCTAGTTCTCCCCCCTTAATAAATTTGTTTTTGAGTACTATATATAATGTGGTATCTTGCTAGAACCAGATTTGATTTGTGAAGCCATTATTTGTATTGTCATTATTTTCCTTTTACAACTTTAATCCACAAGTGGAATTTATTGGGCATATGCTTAAAATTAAGTCATTTTTTTCGAACAAGTTTCTTCAAGTTACTTTTTTTGCCGACAAAACTTGCTAGAAGAGTAACTTTATATCACAATAAAAAATACTTTTTAGTGGCGAAAAACATATTTCTTAACTTTCAAAATATTTATTAACACATCAACATGAGATTAGTGCTCCCTTTTTTGCAACTTAATTAGGTTTGGTTATGACTTGAAGCTAGTTAATACTTGTCACAAGTTACGTACAAGTAGAAAAATAAGGATTTGTCAAATTTAATTTAGGTTGTGTTTTTTATATATGGAAAAGAATATTTCAAGATTAACCAACTTCAAAATTTATATGTTATTTAATACTATATTAACATTAAACTATTAAAATTTATTGAATAAAAAATTATAAAAAAAGATTCTCAAGATCTCAAAGTAAACGCGTTTTCAAGTTTTCTATTTTGAGAAACAATTTTTCAGAATGAGAAAGAGAACGAGTTTTCAGCAATTCCAAAATAGACACTCAAAACAGAAAACACAAAATGAATTCAAACTCAAAACACAAAACTGAAACACGAAAAAAACGGCACCTTATTCTCTCACACAACCATTTAGAAGGAGAGCTTCCTGATTGCTGGATGAACTTAAATGGGTTATTTGCTCTCAATCTAGCAAATAATAAGTTCCAGGTAAACTTCCCCCCACTTTAAGCACTATGAAGCGGCTTGCGATATTGCATTTGGGCAACAATAATTTCACTGGTGAATTGCCTTCCTCTTTGAAGAATTGCAGGATATTGAGAAAGTTAGATTTGGGAGGAAACAAGTTGACAGGTACAATTCCAGCATGGATAGGAACACACCTAACAAATTTGGTAGTTCTTAGCCTTCGATTTGATAGTTTTCATGAATCCATTCCTACAACAATTTGCCACCTTACCGATATTCACGTCATGGACCTTTCTAGAAACAACATTTCTGGAAAAATTCCACGATGTTTAAACAATCTTACTTCTTTGGTTCAAAATGATGGTCCAACTTTTCTCAAATTTAGTCCCACTCTGGTATTTGTCGGGGAACCATCAGATGACGATGACAATGCTTTGGTTCAATGGAAAGGACAAGACGCAGAGTATAAAAGACTAAGAAATTTGAAAGGCATTGATCTTTCTAGCAATAAGTTAGTTGGAACTATTCCTCATACATTTTCTGATTTGAGAGTTTTAGATTTCATCAACTTATCTAGAAACCATTTAACAGGGAATATCATTTCAAGTATTGGTAAACTGGACACATTGGAATGGCTTGATTCGTCTAGAAACCAACTTTCTGGGGAGATTCCGAATGGCCTTGCAAATCTACATTTTCTTAGTGTTTTGGACTTATCATACAATAATTTGATGGGGAAGATTCCACTACGCACTCTTGACTCATCTTCATACAATGGGAACAACCAACTCTGTGGGGATCCATTGGCAAGGTGTCCTCCTGACCCTTCTGTCACTGATCATGGCAAGGTAAATATTGTTGAAAAAGATGATAAGTTTATAAGTCGAGATTTTTATATCTGTGCGGCATTTGGCTTCATTACTGGATTTTGGGTCGTTGTTGGTACTCTAGTCCTCAAGCATTCATGGAGACATTCCTATTTCAACTTTTGGAATAATATTAAAACTGGATGTACGTGACAACAACAATCTACGTAACAAGATTTAAGAGAAAATTTATGGCCTAAAGGTAAAGTGTATGTAAATCTACTTCGTTAATTAGTTGTTTGCACCATGACTATGGTATAGTGTCTATGGACGTAAATATAGAAAACCTTTAGCCCATAGTCTCCCTTTTTTCCAAATCATTTTTTCTTATACTCATTTTCAACCACACATTCACACAATAAAATATTTTGCACGTAAACTCAAAACTTTTTCCTTACTTTTTATCCACACATTTTCCAAAAAATCATTATTCAAAATATTATTTTGCCAAAAAATTCTTTATAAAAGGAGAAAAACATAGGCTTAATTTGACCGGTCAATGTCCTAATCTTGACTTTCTTATGGCTGAAAATCAGGTGCCGCTTTTTGGAAAAGTTGATGACTGGAGTGGTGCACGGGTTGTGACTGTCTGACTGATGTTCTTCTTTAATCTAATTGACAACGTTGTCATATTTTCTAAATATTTGCAGAAATAAAATCAGATTTTTGGGTTACCATTCACTTTGTTATGAAATAGTTACTTTAATAATAATAATAATAATAAGTTCTAATTTAGATCAAGTATTTCATTTGATCAATTCATTGCTTTGATAATTGTAATTTACATAACACTTTTTAAATTTTTAAATGATTTATTACTCATAATTAACGTCTTTTTACAGATGATTTCCTTCGTTTAACTTGGTACAAATATTTAAATTGGCTATTAGACACTTTATCAAACATGACACCACCCATCCCTGATCATCCTAGTGGGCCCGAAATGTGGCGTGCACCAATTATGGATATCAACTAGTTGTTGAACCCCCCATTAAGACTGAATGTAATATGCTATCAATCATATTCTAGATCAAAGAATCTCATTTTATGTTAAAAGAATGAGAGCCCAAAATGATTTTTACATGCTCAACTCAATTGATTCAAATAACATAAAATGATCATGCGTCTATGGCTCTAAAATCAACAGGCTCTTCGAGGATGCCAAAACTCAATTGCTACCTGATAAGAAAAATCGTGAAAAATATGAGTTGATAGCTTAGTTAGTAAAGAATTTCGAAAATAACTATATTTTCTCATTTATACAGATTTAACGAAAATCAAATTCACATCATTTATAATTCTTAGCGTAACATTATATTATCACATTCAAGATGTGAGACATTCTCATACACTAAAAAATCCCATAGTCATAATATAGTCATCAGCTGAAATGAGTGAAATAATCTCATCACATCACAATATTCTGGGAAATCTCACCAAAAATATATCATCTGACTAGATATATAATCTAGTCATACACACGTACACTGCCCATCGGCCTAAACACTTTGGACACGGGCCTCAGGGTCCTTTGTGAACAAAAGTGGGTGTCGAATATCTCTGATAATCAATTCAAGAACATGGTCAAGACCCCTTAATGAACTATATGTACACTGTCGAAATCCATCACTATAGTATAGAACATGACTAAGACCCTTCAATGAACTAGAAGAAACATATAATCACAAGTATTTTTCTGGTTGATTTCAATATCACATATATTTAACATTCCATTTCACAAATAATCAATATACAATCTTTATAATTCTACAAATATCAGTGTGATAACATTTCATAATAATTACGTAGTTGGACAAATAATCCACTTAATCACGCATAATACAATAATATAATTATTTTTCAAATATATGAAAATATTTAAGTTTTTCCACTCATCAAGTCTATCCAGTGAATAAATACTATTTTGACAGACAAGTTATCCCGACCTCACTATTTCTTGGAAAATTAGACATTTCTTGAGATTATTAACCATTTAATCCAATTCCCCAACAAATGAACAAATATAAGTCCTCAGCACCTCAACTATAGCTCATTCTTTTCTATTTTTCCATTTCAGACTACCTATGAAAGAAAATCTATCAATGTTTTTATTTTCCATCCCATTTCTCCTTTCACTTTATCTTTTATTGAGAGGCGAATACATATCCAATTGCAATCCCTTTCTAATTGAAAATAATTATTGTGATTGGAAGACGAAACAAGAAACTTAAAGTTGAGTCACTATTCTTTTCTCTCTTGTTGCAGTGTACCCAATAATTACAATTGGCCAAATCCATTAATTTTGACTCCTTCTACTCAGTGAAATCACAACTCAATTCATTTCTTTTTCTATACAGAAATGCCTGCCCATATAATACTATACAATTTGAAGCATTGTATTAACTGTGAAAATGAAGCAAAACGACCTAGCATCATAAAATTGAATTGTACCTCACCATAATTCTGCCCAATTTCTCCATTATATCAATTTGTCATCTCTCTCTCCTATATACATGTATAAACATTGACAGATTCTTGAAATTGTAAAATTTCCTTACCTTATAATGGAATTTAAGAGTGAAAGAGGACCAAGCTCGAAAATCTCCTCTCTCTTTCACCTATTTTCTTCTTTTTCATTTCTATTTTTGCTGCCTCTTTTTCTCCCTGGATGTATTCAAGTATCCCCCCCGCCCCCCAGCCCTTCGCCCCAACACACACACTTCCTTTTTTTGGTTTTTTTGTTTTTTTGTTTTTTGTTGTTGTTGTTGTTATTATTATTATTATTATTATTATTATTATTATTATTATTGAAGTGCTAGAATAGAAAATTTTAAACATGATCTGTATTGGATTGAATTATTTATACTCACAAAGTGTGTACATTGATTGACACCTCCTATATCTCAAAAATCTGGTAGTTGATTGAAAAAAATAATGTCAAAATCAATATATCAAAATGTATCAACTTACATGAATGCAAATCATTGTGTCAATCTTTACGTAGTTATAGCATGGTCCATATGTATTAATTCCAGAGAGCCCCGTTACCGTATTTTAATTATAATTGAGGTCTCTACATTTAGCCCTTAATTGATTGGATTAAAATCAAAATTTTAGTAGATTTTGATTGAAATTGATGAAATATGTGATTGAAAAATTGGAGATTTTTATAAAATATTTGGTCAAAGTTAGTTTTTAATTTAATTTATAACAAAGTGGTGCTTAAAGACCCAAGTGGACTCATTCTTTTATTTTTTTTATTTTTGACTTTGACTAACTCACTTGAACTTGGACATCACAAGATATGTTGCCTATAATAGTAGAGTTATGAACAGTTGACTTTGGACAATAAATTACTCAATTGGAGTGGAAATCGTTAGCTACACGTTTCACGAGATTCAAATCTTTTTCATAACGCATTTCATCAACTTCTATAAAAATCAGCTCAAACTTTTATCAAAATATTTGTCAAACAACCCTTTAATAAGTTTATCCGTCAGCTTATGGATGAGACCTCAATAGTTTTGTATTTAACACTAAATAATTTCATAAGATCTATTTATCTCTGAGTTATATTCCTAGATTATGGTTATTGAATTGTAGATACCTTTGGTTGATTGAGTCACATTTACACATTGTGAGTCTTGCACTATCATGAGGTTTTGGACTTAAAGATCATTGGTCTGATTCAATACATACACGCTTCCGACATTAGTATAAGAATAAAGTTTATTAGACATAGACTCTATATTCCATTACTTGAAAGACATGAAATGATATAAGTATTATTTTCTCTGTGTTATGCATTGATTTTTCAGTTTGACGGATATAGGTTAGCGTGCAAACATGAAGCATGATTGTTCAAAAATATAACTAAATTGCGTTCCTAAATTCTTTCTCAGACAGCATTAATTTCGGTGCGTTAAGACTTTTATAATTTTGGTAGTCTATCGCTCGTTGATCAAGTTTAGTTTATATACCATAGTATGGGACTTAATTGAACTCAAATTGCACCAAGGACAGACATAACACATGACAGCACTGACGAAAATGAAAGGATTTTTTGTTACAAGGGCCCAAATGTTCAATCAAAAGGGCTACTGATCACCACTTGAGTATCCATCGAAGTGTAGCACACTCAAATCCACTACTACAATCCAAGAAAAGTTAACAACAATCTGTAATACACCAAATAGCACAAAGATTTTTAGAAGAAGAAAAGAAAAGAAAAACCCTTTTTGGCCTATTGAGAACAACCCACACTGGCTAATTGAATATTAATGTTCACCAAGAGCACATTACAACCTATAATCTCATAGAGAGATGAAGATGAAGAGAGTGTTTTAGAGAGAGAATTTTATAAGTGTATCAAAGAGGGAATTTTACAACTGATTGCGCAAGGTGAGAAGGTGGGTCGCTTCCTGATTAGTGTGTTTTGCACACGGGTTTTATACCAATAAAGCTGCATTTGTATACTTAATCTGTTAATTATAGAACGAATTTAATGTGTTTGCTAGTGTTTTGGTTGAAGGAATGTTAAAATAAAGAAAAATGGTTTTTGGAGCAAAATAGAGGAAGAATGGAGCAGAAATATGGCGCTCAAGCTCCCGGAGATAGCGCTCAAACGCCGGAGAACGAAGTAGAAATTTCAACAGGAAGATGGCGCTCAAGCGCCACCTTTATGGCGCTCAAGCGCCACAAAAAAAAACCTTGAAGTGAAAAAGTGGGCAGAGATTGGGCGCTCAAGCGCCACTTACATGGCGCTCAAGCGCTACCTTCACAGATGACGCGGCGCTCAAGCGCCGCAGTCGGGCGCTCAAGCGCTGCGCCGCGAGAAAAATTAGGTTAATTTTGGACTACGAAAAAGCCCACAAAAAGGACTCCAACTTGGCTAAGGATGGGGAGGAAGTATAAAGAGGCTAAGAGAGGCACGAAATAGGG